GATAGTCAAATTATACTAGGGTGTTAATAATGTATTACAAAGGCAGCTGTAGCTGGGGAAAAGCCGGTAAGGAAGCGGAACTACAATTACTTAGGTGTTACAGACAGGTAAGTGACAGCTGGGCATCTATCAAGCAGCGGCTGTGCACTGACCTGATGACATAAGGATGGTCGCTAGAAGAGAGCTTAAAAGGTTGAATGAAGGAAGTACCGCAGACGTGAAGAATGCAAGCATACAGTAAGTTGTCTGAGTCAGTCACATCACCAGAAGCGAGCTAAAAAGGATTGAATGAAGAGCGAACAGAAAACGGAAAGAATGCATACTACGGTAGACTGGGCGGGAAAAAGCAGATGAGAGAAGTGGACTACATTGGAGTTGAGTAAGGTAGGATGGGGGAACGCTTACATGCGGCCAGGACCATTTTCCCACAGTTCGTCTTCAAGTCCGTTAATGCTTAAAAGAGTAGAAACCTGACTGACTATGAGGTACCTATTAAGTGCTGTACGGAAGTGGATTACATTATCAGATGCCGGCACATTATGTGGAAGCCTATTCCACACATACGCAAATCCGTAAAGATAGAAGTTTGCACGGATACTACTGTGGGCTTTCGACAAGATAATGGTGTGCGGTCTATTACGAAGAGGGTACGAAAGGTTGGCCGATGATAGGAAGGGAGTTAGGGAGTTCGCAAGCTGATTATTGATAATCTGATATAGGAAGATGAGGTTAGTTTTCAGCCTGCGCAACCATAAAGGCTCCCAGCACTAGTTTGATGCACCGACCACGATAGTTGAGAGTAGAGTTGCCCAGAAGACGTTTGGTAAACGATCGTTGAACCTCTTCAATGGCTACTCTATCGCATTTTCTGGAGTTGGTATACACAATGGAGCAGTATTCTAGCATAGGTCGGGCGCAGGTTTTGTATAGAGCAAGCCTAGATTCTTGCAGTGTCATCGATTTAAATATGTAGCTTATGAGGGAGCGTGCTTTTCTGAGCAATGGCCCACTTGCTCTGCGAAGTTCAGAGAAGTGGAGTAGTGTACACCTAGGTCTCGACCTTTTAGACTATTATCAGGCGGAGTGCCTTGAAGCGCTGACGCCTTGGGCGGAACGATGCATCGGTATGAGAGGACGTTGCATTTCGCCGGTGAGAATGCCAGATTCCAATTGTTGCACCAAACATCCAGAGCACTAAGTTCGCTTTGAATCTATAAATAAATAAGTAAATAGTATATTCTCTGTAAAACGAGACACACCTCTAAAAGGCATGATCAAATATGCATACAAGCACAGCTTCTTTGGAATATTAAAACATTTCGTTACAATGAAAGGAATAAACGAAATGATGTAGTCCATAAGAGCGAGCATATTGTCAGGTAATAGTCAGACCAAGGATCATAATGGCGCCGTGGCGCGCAAAAACTGTTGCGTCAAGATACAAGTGGGGGGGTAAATTTGACATGTAGTGATCCATGAGCACAGGAGCCCGAACAAGGTTTAGTGCAATCACTGACCAATCAATGACTCCACTAAAGCATTCTTCGTAGTAAAATCAGTTGCACAGGTTCGATGTTGGAGGCTGAGGACTGCGTCAGTGTGAAATGTATAGCAGTGACTTTATTTTGTGGCGAGTCACATACGCCACGTTGCAGTGTTGTTAAGCGGACATTTGTGGCTTTTTATAGGGAGAACGCTTGCCAGGCGAAAGACCGGCTTGCATGTCTGAGGGGTGAATGGAGAACACCATTTGGATGTCATCAGCAAACAGATAGGACTTGCCATATTGTATTACCTGGAATACGTCATTGATATATAGCACGAATAAGAGTGGGCCTAGTACGCTGCCCTGAAAGACGCCACTTGTGACTGGGTTGGGGAGTGATATATACTCGTTCACCTGTACTGATTGCGTGCGAGATGAGAGATAAGATTGGAACCATGAGAGCAGGCGGTCTGAGATTCCGTAAGATTCTAGCTTTACTAATAATTCCGCGTGTGGCACTCTGTCAAAAGCTTTTCTCATATCAAGGGAGATAATGACTAGTGCTTGTTTGGCATCAATCTGCGCAGGCACATTGTTAAGAAACTCGAATTGGCAAGTCTGACAAGATTTGGACGGTAAAAATCCGTGTTGTTGTCTATTGATAAGGTTGTGACTAAGCAGAAAGTTCAGCAGGTTCTCCTTAACAATTCTTTCCACCACTCTCGGGGCAATAGGCGTATGGCTTATGGGGCGGTAGTTTTCTATGTTTTGACGGCTACCTTGTTTATGTCTAGGAATGACTATAGAATACTTCCACGTGTTTGGATGCATGGCGAATTGCATTGAGAGGTAAATAAGTTAAGCAGTACAACAGGAATGTCCTGACCACCGAGTATCAGCAGTGCAGATGGGAGACCATCAGGGCCAGGGTGTAGTGCCAGCTAAAGTGAACTGATTACTCGGGTTATGGAACGTAAGTCGAAGGCAATAATGTCTAGGGAGTCGTTGGTAAGTTTAGGCACAGCAGTTGGCAACATCAGGTTGATGTCAGCGAAGCAATCACAGTGGACAGTACAGTGGACTGCATAGTTTTATTGAGACACCTTAGATGGCTCGGTCATGTGAGCCGTATGGATTCGACTCGGATACCGAAACAACTCTTATACGGTCAGCTGAGTATTGGAAAGCGGCACTTGGGGAAAGCAGTTACGTTAAAAGGACATGATTAAAGTGAGCCTCACACGTTCTTACCTTGATTGCAGATCACGGGAATCGAAGGCGGTTGATCGGCGCGTATGGCGCGATCTAATCACGAAGGCAGTTGCTGAAGTGCGGGAGAAAGGCCTCATGCATGCAGAGAAGAAGCGGCAAGCGCGGAAGTTGCAAGCACTGATGAATTGTACTCCATCGACATCAAGCGCATGGTGCTGTAGAACATGCGGTCGCGAGTGCCTTAGTCAGGCAGGCTTAGTGAGCCATGAGCGAGGCCACTCGGGACTTCTACCGAAGCGACGACGATTTCTGCTGAGAACGTAGGCAGAACCGAAGCAGCTTTTGTAGGTATGCTGCATTCGATTTACTAACCGCGTGCTTGCATGCTAAGTCTCTTTATTTCAGGTGGTGGGTTTACATTTTTGTCCTAATGTCTTCCTTTCTCCTATAAATGTCTAGTCTAGTGAGCCATGAGTGGGGCCACTCGGGACCACTACAGAAGCGACGACGGGTCCTGCGGAGAAGTATTCAAAACCGGCGCAGCGTCTGTAGATACGCTGCATTCTTTTTACTAACGGCGTGCTTGCAGGCTAAGTCTCTTTATTTCAGGAGGTGGTTTTTCACTTTTGCCTTAATGCTTTTCTTTCTCATATAAATGTCTACCTGTACTCTATTCCATTAACTTGCACACCTCGCTTAAGCCAATTGTATTCGATTTCCATAGCATTTTTGTGTTCGTGGCATTTCCGTATAGCATACTTTCTCACCTCGTGAACTTATCTAGGATTCTTTTGTAAACAACTTATTTCATATGCTCATTAATTTAAGGTTTATGTCACCGTTTCCTTATGCAACAATCGAGTTATTTTCTTTCTCTCTCTCTCTCTCTCTCTCGAGTTTTGGATGTTGTTTGATATCCCCGGCGTGGCTGCGTTTGATGTGCATGTTGACTAGGTGCCTACCTGTCTATTACCCATTACCACGTCCATACTGGCTCCAGGAGACAGTTGATCGTTGCTGGAGGGGACGGGGTGCACGGTCTTGTGGCCGTGCACGGCTCGAAGAGTGGTTCCATGCACTCAATGTTGAGCGGACTACGGTCCAGCTACCGCCTTGTGTGCGCTTGATTCCCAAATACAGTGTACTTGTGTTTGCCTGTGAAGGAGTGTGGGCCGGCTCCGTTGATGAAACGTGGTTACCATCCGCATGCCTCCCGGTCTTATTCCTTCGGGTTTACACTGTATATGGGGTGTGTAAATAGAGCTGCGAGTGGTGCAGCGCAAGCCATCCATGGTCCCTCTGTAGGCGCAGGCGTCCTGTGGCTTGCCACAGTGACAGGCAAATCCGAAACCGGATGCCGCCAACCATATATGGGATTGAGGTTAATAATGCGTACATTTATGTATAAATAATGCAGTCTGGAAGTGAATGCATATATTTAATTGCAAATATATACATCCTAATTTTGCAACTTTAAATATATATATATATATGTAGGGTTTCATCAACAATTTATGTACCCTATGAAAGCTCATTCCGCCGTTGTGAACATTTACCCACCACACCTTGAACAGTCAACGACGTGAATTTTTACTTCTCCTTCACTTCAGATCATTTAACTTACTTCTCCCCAGGCATTCATATATGCAACTGACGCTTTCGCTATACTGTTCCTTTATAAATACTCATTCCATACGTAAATAGATGTGCGCATATCGCATGCTTATTTGCCTATTCGTGCCACATCCCTTTACCACGTTATTTACATATTATCCTCACAGCTATTTCCGTTCTTGCCCACCTATTTCTCGAGGTACGCTACCATTCTGCCCAGTCGTTTCCCAAAAAAGAAATCACATCGGAGCATGTGAGGCAAGCAAAATATTCATTTTCCCTTCAATTTAAGTGTATCACTCTTCATACACTCCATAAAAGTGGCTATTCTTCATTTTCTGACTAGCTGAGTGCACTATTTAATTATCCAATAATATACGTCCAATTTAGACTCATTTATGCAGTTTGAAACTCCGGGCACCTGCTACCTATGGTGCCATAAAAGCTACAGAACCCCGATTCCTTTATACCTCTGCTACTGGTTTATTTATAGTATTTACCAATTATTTAACTATACCTCAGTATCCTACGCTACAATTATACTTCCGGCTGTGCCGGTTGATTTTGCCAGCAAACCCGTTCCCGCCAGATGTGAGAGTCCTGATCCCAATAACCATGGTATTTGGTGTATTCAAACACTAATTTTGTTTAATCAGACTAAAAATTCCACACCCCCACGCAATTCCAAGCACGTCTATGCAGCCAATCCAATAACTTTGCCATCTTGATTTCACACCGTTTGCTGTGCCACTAGTGGCTATCCATATGGTTAGAAGGTCGTTCCCCTTTTGTCCATGCGACTCGTGATATCGGTTACTCACTCGTCACACTAGAGTAATGGGATTGGTGCAGCAATGAAAAGTATGGTTCCGGTTTTGCTTTTATCTTGTACAGAAAAGTTTACTGCGGACGCATGGCGAATGCGATGGGCCAAAAACGATATTGCATGGCATAATCAGCACCCACACCGGTTAGTTATAATGGAAGTTTTCTCTTACTACTAAGACCGCTTTTTACGCATTTAAATCAACAAATAAATGGTTTATTTCCAACAGTGTGATACATGCCTACAAAGGCATGTTCATTGTAATATAGGCCGTATAATCAGTAATTGCTACATGTGTTACTATGTTCTGGAGTTATTTTGTCTTTATGTAAGTGCAAGGGTTAGTAAGCATGTTTAGTGAATTAGTTGCTGTTGTGATCTATTTGTGATTGTGTTCGACGAATTCGCTGATATAGCAAGGGATCAAATAATATCTTTGAATTGGCTGTCGTCGGTGAATGAGGTAAGACTGTAGTGTTCATAGCTTTTTCATTTTTTGCGCTTTTCTCATTTCGCTTTTTATATGCGTCTTGTACAGTTGTTTTAATTCACCGTTTATAATACACATAATTCTCGACCTCGAACGGCGCGTTCTGCTTTCCTGCGGCGGCGTGTTGCGATTGCATTGTTGGTGCTAGGAAAGTCTGAGCTTCGCGGAACCAACACTGGAATATCGTATCAGGGAGTGTGCAATATCAGTGGAGTTAGTCCAACCGTCACTACTGAAGGTCAGCGTGTTGATACTTTTATCTGACACTATTCCTTTCCTTCTGGTGCGGTAGTGTAAGACTAGTTTTCGCTCCACTACAAGACCCCCTGGAAAGGTAGGAAGAAGTGTTTATTTAGTGGCGAGTCATATCCGACAGTTTCTGTAGATTTTCGCATAGATCTTTACTAGAGCGTCTGTTTAGCTGCAATTCTGATGTAAAGCTTATCCGGAAACACTCATATATATTTGCAAAAGTCTGCTAACAGACATAATACCATCAGAAACCATGGGGTTCAAACGAAGGTACAGAAACAGTAAAATAAAACAAACAATGTCCATGGAAACACTCAAGCGCGTAAATACTCGCGTACCTTTTTAAGACGACAGGCACAAATTGATTAGGTGACTTAGTTTGTATTATGCTTCGTGGGTACTGTGACGTTAGGTGAACTTTGTCCTTCGTTGTAACTGCTGTTGTCATCATGATCAACGACAGTGCATCAGACATTTGAACTGATGCTTCGCTGCCATACAGCTAGGATGCACTAAAGAATACTAGGAGGGGGAGAAGGTGGACCTGTAGGACTAGTTAATACTAGTCCGAGACAATGTGCGAAATTAAGCGCGGGTATCAGAAGGCAATCGGAGTCGGACAGCGGACCGTATTCGATGGGCTACAATAAGAAGCGGACGGATGAAGCGAGGCGAGAACGAATACGTGAACGCGGGAACCTGCAAGGCGGTCGAGTGTCGATCCGGTTGTAAAAACGATTAAAACAAAAAAGAATAATTTACACTCGGGCAGCAATTAAATTATACGTGAAAGATAAGTTATCTTTTTGGGCGCTACAGAGCTCCCCCTAGAAGGCTGAACATAGAAAGTCTTCGATTTCGAAAAGGACTGTTGAATCACGGTTCGTAAAGCAAAATCGTGCCTAGTAAAAATGAGCGAGCGTTCGTGTAAATGGGGGTTCGCCAGAAGTCGGAGTCCGCTGTGCCGTTTGTGATTTATTATTTATTGATTCCAGGGCAGGATGCATTTCGGCGAGCCGTTGGAGCGGGCTTGTCGGACTACAAAAAACTGGCTAGCCCAGGAAAATATCGACAGGACCTCAACCTCCGCTGCTGCCAAACGGTGCGCTTGGGAGTGGTCTGTCCCCCCGCCGAACCAGGCGCACGCCAAAACGACCCTCGTCCCACGGAGAAACGACACTCGTCCCGCGAACAAGCGACACTCATCCCACGGAGAAACGACCAGCGTTCGCGTCAGGGTCCTCGAAAACATTGCTCGTGTGGGCCAGTCGATCGAAGGGGAGGGTTGGCGCATGTAGAGATGAGAAAATAGCAAAGCGCGCAGAAAACGCCAAAGAGAACGAACGAATGATCTGCGTGTCTAATTTTTTTTAGTTTTTGAATATTTTTAAAAAAGGTTTTTCGTAGGTTTCTGATATTTTTGTTTGTTTTCAAAACGTTAATCAGCCAAAAGCAGTGCAAATATATACAATATCTACAAACCTAAATGTATTTACACTGTACATACTCGGAAAAAACAACGGGCTTACACACCTCCGTGCCACGGTGTTTAGTCGTGGGAGGCGGCGGGCGAGATTCGGGTGATGTCGGGAGGGCTGAAGCTTGTAAATCGATAACGTGTTCTGGTTGAACTGCATTAAGATTCTGTAAGCTGGTGCGGTGAGTTGTGACGTCGCACGAAGCACTACTAGAAGAAGTAGGCGAGGTGGTTTCTTCCATAAAGGCGGGTTTTAGACGGTCGATGGTGACGACTTAGCGTCGATCACCGCGGTCAATTGTCTACGTCTTACTCGCACGGTGTAGCACTTTGAAAGGTCTTATGTACGGCGTCTGAAGAAGCTGTCGAATACCGTCTGCGCGAAGGACTTTTGAACATACACTGGTGTCTTCTGCGCTCGAGGAGCGGGTGGACGTAGCTCACGCATCTGGTGAGCCAATCGATCAGTGTAAATTCTGTAGTCAAAAGTGGAAATACATGGGGCTGTTGCAACCAGCTGTCCGGGCAATCGCGCCGTGCAACCGAAGACTAGCTGTGCGGGATTGGCGTCGAAATCGGTTTTAACCGTGTTTCTTAAGCCTAGCAGAACGAGTGGCAACGTTTCGGACCATGAAGGATCTGCGTGCGCACCTAGCGCTGCCTTCAACTGGTGGTGAAAACGCTCCATCATGCCGTTAGCGGCCGGATTATACGCCGTCGTCTGGACTTGGCGACAGCCTAAATCCTTAATGATATGGTCGCACCAGATAGACTTAATCGCGATGGTTGACACCGACTCCTGAATGAGAGGCCAAGGTATTGGGAGAACACGCGACACTGGCAAGTAGTATGTGTATTGAGTACACAAAACCCCAAGGGCCAAAAATGCCAATGGCACAAACCCGCGAGTGTCCGTGATAGTCGAAACATGTGTAATTTTATAGGAGGTGTGTTTTTCACAAGTGTTTCATGTTGTGTGGGCCAAAAAGGCAATAACAATGTTCTGTTGCATAAAACAAACACACTGTTCTGGTTTTGGGCGAAAAACATGCCAACACTGTGTAATTCACATGTAGTCATTTGGTGCACACAAATTGAAACATGTTTGGTTCCGTGTTCTAGTTGCACGTACAAGTTCGAACACAACTCTGTGGCACAGTGTGGTTTCGACTATCCAAAACCCCTGGGTCTTATTCGGGTTAGCTTTTGGTTCTAACCTTAACATCTCCCTCCTTGAAGATGTCAATCGTAAGAACGCTTCCAAGGGTTTACCTGCAAACGTGTCGTAGTTTTGCGAGCGCGGTCTGCCCGGCGCCTTTGTTGTGTTATCTCTGATGGAGACTTCGGTGCCTCTGAGTTTACTATGGACCGTGGGATGTTAAATGTGTCAATTAGCATGTCAAGTGGCAGGCTTTGACTCTCTTCATCGGGTATGCACCTAGTTGGTCGCAGCTGGTTCACATGACGAATCCATAATTGTGATCCAACTCGCACCTCGTAAATAACTTTACCCCGCCTACCAGTGACCATTCCTTTTGTCCAATTTGGATGACCATTGCGAGAGTCGCGTGCAAGGACTAGTTGACCATGGGTGAACGCACGTTGTCTTGTCCCTCGATGTTTAGATGACTGTTGTCCCATAGTAGATTTCTGTTCCTTATCCGAAACTTCTATTGTGGGCCGAGGAGCATCAAATGGAGTTCGTAGCTTACGATTCATTAAGGCCTCGGCCGGAGAAAATCCGTTCGGCGTTTGGACGTTCGGTGTGACCCGATATATGAACAAAAATCGTTCAAGGATTTCCTGTGTCATTCCCTCCCCTGCTGATTTCAAGAGGGCGCGCCTGAAAGTGTCCACGAAGCGTTCTGCTTGGCCGTTGTATTTCGGGTGAAACGGCGGTGTTCTGATGTGATTGATTGCACAATTTTTATAAAAGTTGGAGAAACATGCTGAAGTGGGTTTCTGGGTAGCCAAACCGGCTGAATAACTGTCTTAATTTCGAAACAGTGGCTCCCGCTGTTGTGTTTTGCATCAGAAACACCTCGGGCCATTTGCTGTATGAGTCGACAACTACTAGAAAGTTGTTACCATTAACGGGTCCGGCAAAATCTGCATGCACACGAGTCCACGGTTTGTCAGGTGTTGGCGAAGGGTGGATTTCTTCTTTTGGTGGAGCTTTTGCTGCAACTGCACACTTATTGCAGCTCTTTGCTAACTCTTCTAATTGTTTATCCAAGAAAGGCCAGTAGACATAGCTGCGTGCTAGTGCTTTCATTCGGTTTATTCCAGGGTGACCAATATGAAATTGGCGTAGCACCTTCGTTTGCAGGATCTTAGGAATAACGACCCTGTCAGCAAAAAGAATACATTCGTTCACGATGGACAGAGTGTCTTCTCTGGTAGAACTGTTGAAATTCAGCTGATTTACATGTGGTTGGCCACTTCGATCGCTGGAAATGGGCAACTTGTTTAAGTAAGGGATCTTGGAGAGTGGCATGACGAACCGCATCTGAGGTAACCGGAAGATTGTTTGACACGTCATTTATAATGAACGCAATGTCCGATTCCGCTTCTACAGATGCAATCACCGTATCTTCCTGTTTCTGTTTGTGAGGTCCTATAAGTCGCGATAAAGCGTCTGCCTGACCAATACTGGTAGTTGACTGATAACGTATGTCGAAGTCATAGGCTAACAGTGTCAGTGCCCAGCGCTGCAAGCGGTTAGCTGTGTACACTGGAATTCCTTTTTTGGAGCCGAAAATGGTCAGTAGTGGTTTGTGATCAGTTAACAACGTGAAACGACTGCCGTACAGCATCTTGTGAAATTTCTTTACAGTGTATATGATAGCCAAAGCCTCTTTTCAATTTGGCTATAGTTCTTTTCAGCGGTTGTGAGAGATCTAGCAGCATGTGCAATAGTTTTTT